CTAGGGACCTAAGGGAACACTCAATACTACTATTCTGCAATAAAATAACTCCTAATAATGTTATACTATACTTATCTATTAGTGCCTTGCTCAGCCATTATTAGAGAAGCTTCTTCCTGCAGTGAGTAGGAAGAAGTAGAGAGACCCACAAGTAGACAATGTGCAGAGAGTTAAAAACCTTGAAACCCTCAATCTTAAATAGGATGTCTCTACCAAACCCCTCCCCTTGGGAATCACGAAACCTTGTGGAAGGAAAAGCTGAAAGATTGAAGAGACAGCAGGGGTGGGGGACATCAAGGAAACAAGGCCTTTGAATTACAGAAGAGCCATTCCCCATAGAGACTGAGAAAGCCTGCATAGGGTCTGGAAGATCTGCACCTGATGGAGTCCCAGCACTCCGAGGGCAAGTGTATGCAAGCTCCCATCCCTAACCAAGGAGCTGATTGATGTCTCCTTACAAATGAAAAATTAGGTTTCTCCTGCTGAATCTCACTGGGTATATAAACCACTTCTAAGGAGAGGCACCATACATGGAAGTAGATGGCAAACTCACTGGCAGGGCTCCCCCCTGCCTTTTTTTTTTAAAGAAAACTTTACAGGTTCTTTGTGTACATATTTTGGCTTCTGATTTTATGTTTTCATGAGATTTCTGTATATGAAAACATGTGTGTGTTTCTGAATCTACTTGTGTTTTTCATTTGACTATTTTTCTTTGCTTGTTTGTTTTGCCCTATTCTTTTTTTGCTCTTAATTATTATTATTGTTTTAGATGTCTGTTTGTATTATAATGAGAGAGAGAAAGGGTGTGGATTTAGGTGGGTAGAGAAGTAGGACATTCTGGGAGTCATTGAGGTATAATCAAAATATATTGTATGAAAAAAATCTATTGCCTTCTTCTAGGTCAGACTCCCTGTGACCTGAGTGACTCTTACTAGGTTCAAATTCTTCAAGGTTTACCATCTCCCAGTGGCACTACAATGGAGACCAAGCTACCTTAACCCCATGGACCTTAGAAGGTAATTAAGGTGTTGTGGTGATATTTTGTTTGTGCTCTAACAAATAAAGCTTTTCTTGAGACCAGAAAAGCTGAGCAGCCAGCCACTTAAAGATATCTTACCTCTAGGAAACTTCAGATTGAAAAGGCTGAGCTCCTGTCTCCAACCCTGCCTTATCACTTCCTTTCTCCACCCAGCCATATCACTTCTTTCTTCCTCCCAAGTACTGGGATCAAAAGCATGAGATTCCAAATGCTGGGATTAAAGGTTGTGCCACCACTGCCTGGCATCTAGGGGCTAGCTCCGCACTCTGATCTCCAGGCAAGCTTTATTTGTTAGGACACAAACAAAATATCACCACATCCCCCCCCCTTTTTTTTTATCTAAAATAAAAAAGAATGTTAGAAGTGTTGGGAGGATACTATGGCTGGGTACCAGACCATGGGAGATGAGGTCCAGAGGTGATGGGAGCAGTTAGGGAGTTTGTGGAGGTGTAGGTTGCGAGAAGGTCACTTATCTTCTCTGTCTGTGGTACCCCTTACCCCTACACTCTGAGAACATAGAAGTGATGACTTGGCAGAGAGAGGAAGTGATAAGGCAGGGTGGAGACAGGAGCTCAGCCCCCTTTCAGATGGAGAATTCCTAGAGGTAAAAAGTCTTTCTAGTGGCTGCTGCTCTGCTTCTCTCATCTTTCAGCTTTCACCCTGATATCTGACTCTGGGGTTTTACCATTAAGACTCATTAGGATTCTAGCTACAAGATGTGGATTATATGACATTCTACATAGTGACTTTAATGAAATGAAATATTTAATACATTTTGAGCTTTTTTTCTCACTATAGAAGATGCAGCATATAATTATACTCACCAAGTTTAGGCTTCCTATACACATGTTACTCTAGCAATAATAGAATCTGTTTATAGTTTTATGTTTCACCCTTATACTCATATAGAGTCAACCCAGTCACACTGTTTAGTATTAATATATTAAAAAAAGTGTGAGGAAGAGGAGGAGACAAGGCAGAGACAAAGGTAGAAGAAATAGAGACAAAAACTGGAGGAGAAGAAAAAGAGGAAGAAGGAGAGGGAAAGGGAGAAGGTGGGAAGGTGGAGAAGATAGAAGAGGAGGAGAATTTGAATAAGAATAAAGAATAATTATGCCCATCCTAAGATTTTCAACTTAATTACATCTCCAAAACATATTTTTGCATCTTATATAATACTCGCAATTTCCAAACAACAAGCAAGGATATTTATTTGGGGGACATTTTTAACCACCCCACAACCATTAACTAAGTAACTTAAATGCCTTTAGTCAACAATTGTGTTCTTAATTAATGGATCTCAGTGTTTTCCCGATATTAAAAAAAAAACATTAAATCAAGACAAATACATTTTTAAGTGATCATATTCCGAGAAATGTCTTAGGATCAGTGATGTCTGGTTAAACATATTAGGAGTCACTAGAAGATCCAAGATTCAGAATCCTCCATCAAGATGTGAGGGAAAAGTTATGAAGTTCATTAAACAAAAGAAAATACAAAAGTGACCAATCACAAAAAAATTATGTTTTATATTGGAATATAAGGTGATTAAAATATACACATTTTAATGGATTATAACAGTGAAAGTAGAAAGGGAAACACAGGCAATTGTGAAAGACCTGCCTGACTTTAAGAATGAATACAAGGAGGGGGAGAAATGAAAGAGAGCATATATTAAAGAAACAGAAATCCTTCATCAGCCAGTTCTCTAATCTAATGTAGTTCCTACATGGAGTGAACACCGTGAAATCCCAAATGAAACAAACAGATTTAAATCAATGTTCTCTTGTGTAAAACAATATCACCATCTTTACCTCTGGGGTGATGCTTAGCTGAGATTACCATATTTAAATGGCTATGGCTTAAAAGGAATAGATTCAATCTGTTCTTTACTGATGAAACTGTGCACCAAGGACATGATTATTTCTCCCTTAGGATAAGGCAAAAGGACATATTGAATTACAACTAAATTGTATAAATAGAAGTTAATAGAAGAGACAGAGTATTTCTCATATTTGATATGAGTTCTGAGAACAATGGTTTTATTTTAATTTAGCACAAAAGGTCTTTTAAAGAGCCTATGCTAATTCAATAGACACATTTAAAGGGCAAAATGTTAATGCATAATTTTGACAGGAAGCTTAAACTTAAAGTAGGCATAGAGTTCTTCGAACGTGGGTAATTTGGGGGCACCTTAATGGCTTTTCTGTCTTCTTTTAATCTATTACATGAAAGAACATATTGTTATTTAACTTCAGTCTGACTTTCAGAGTAGATGTGACATAAACCAAAACAATGTGATCACTTTGAATAAATATGACTGTGGTGCTCTGAGATGTTGGATTTGCTAATGACGGGAATACTTTTGTAAGGTTTCTTATTCTTTTGCACATATTTTAGTATTCTCATGGCTTTTTATATTTTGAGATTTCTAGTAGATGTTTTTGTCATGGCATTTTTGAATAAGAAATTATTATGTTTATTCTTGCATCTTCCTCATGTTGTTATTGAATTGTTACAAATTTGTAAGACATAGATAGTAGTTGTCATTACACAAGTAGAGGGAATCAGAGTCAGTGTGAAGATGGTCAAGGGGCTTCTCTGATAGCCATGTGACCTAGTCAGTTCTGAAGCTTTCGCACAATGTGGGTAACTAAGCTTGGCAGTTAAGACTAGAACTCCATGCAGGGGTGGGCTGGAGAGATGGTTCAGCAGTTAGTGCTTGCTACTCTTGAGGAGAACCTGAGTTCCATCCCCCACATCCAAGTGGTGGCTTATAGTTGTACTACAGTTCCAGAGTATATGACATCTTCTTTTAGGTTTCATAGGAACCAGGAAGGCAATACACTCACACACATAAAATAAAAATAAATGCATCTTAAACAAAAACAAAAAGACTAACTGCACTGAACAGGTTGTTGCTAACCATTTACTATTTACAGCAATTACTACAACTATTTACAGCCAGTATTGTAGCCTCTATTATTCCAGGTCCTATTAAGTTCAACCTTTTAGCTCTTTATGAAGAGTTGAAGATAATTAGCCTTAAGTCTAGGCTGATTGATAATTTGTAATCATGGGAAGAATGCCAGGGAATTCACTCTATCTGGACTCTAAGGCCTGGTATCACGAGTCTCTGTTTTTGAGATTTTATTTTGAAGTCCAGGGAAGCCACCATGTGAAAAACTCTGATTCCCAAACAGCTGAAAGACCGTGAGGATCAAAGGCAAGCCAGCATAGCTATCTCAGCAGAGCTTGTCCTGGGATAATTATGTCTCAGGTGAGTGTAGCTCTCCACAGATACAGTGCATCAGAATAAAACCCAAAGCATAGGCCAGTGAAACATACCCTAAACCATATCCCACAGAACCATTATGCCAATATATGGCTATTTGATATATCTGGTGATTTAAAACCTTTGATTTAAGGGTTTTTTTTAACAAGGGAAATTAATTAATAAGCAGATATGACAACCCTTAGGTTGAGTGGAAGAACATATCTGTCCCCCTTTGATTATTGAAGGATAAAAAAAAAGAACTCCAAGATTTTTTTTCCAGTTTTGCAAGAGAACTTTACATCACCTTTGACTACACTTTACCTTAGCATACTTTTTCTCTAATAATCTCCATAAATTTGAGAGAAAATATAAATTTCATTTTATATACATTAAGACTTCACTGTAAATAAAATATAAATGGATTTATAGGTGATAAATCATTAACCACACTTTACCAAATTCATATTTGAAAATTCATAAATTCAATAATGATGTGTTATAAGAGTTATTTATATTTTTAAGGATTAAACTTTCTATTTGAAATAAAGGTTACTCTCACAACTTTACCACTTGGTCATTCAAATAACACATGGCTTGTGCATTTTCAATGTTGTTTCATCTCAAGGAAGATATACAGTACTAATATATTTATCAATCTAAACTCATAATAATAGAACACTTTACCTGCACAAGAGTTTATGAGTGGCAGCAGAATTACCAGTTTCCATAGCAACCTCATCTCCACGTTCTAAGGTCAAAAATTTCTCCCATGCAATCAGCAGGAAAGAAGATTGTATCTTCTAGTCAGTATGTTAGCAATCTGTCTGAAGGAAACAAAATGGACAAACATGACTATTGTATATGTATCCCTTAAGCATTGACTAAACTTATTAAAATATATTATAAAAAGAAATCAACATAAATGACTATATATTTTAATACTCATATTTTGCTGAGCCTCACACATTTCAGTTCACATTTTCATAATTTCAGTTTACATATTAACTATATGTCATCAACTGCTACAAAACTTTTAATATATGTCATTATCTGCTATGAAACTTCCTATAGTTTTAATTAATTGGAATAGTACTCAATCCAATGCATAACATGTGGATTGAATTTTCCATTAATTGAATTTTCAGTCTGTGGTTTTTATATGTATAACAAAGGTTTCATAGAAATCACACATTTTCTAAGTGTCCTATTCAAATTATTGAGAACATACTCATTATGAGCCATTACATTTCTTGATGTTACTAGAATGAAAACCAATATTATTTCAAATTTCTGTAAGAAATCAACTGCCTGTGGCATTAACTTGCAGATAGTAGATGTGCTTTCCCCAAGGGGTTACACCATAATTGTTTCTAATTTATTTTGACATTTTAGCTATTCCATGACAAATGAGACCAAGAGAAGGTGCTAGCTTGCCCTTTACTTCATGAAAGAAATCTAATAATAGGTTTATAAACACTGATAAACTAATAAAAATTAGAATAACCTTAGGATAAACTCACCTGGGTCATTTTGATGGAACTATTAGACAGCAAATGAAATTTTTAGGGTAGGAGAACTATATTCAAGCTCAAATAACTTTTTAAAGTATTTGGATATTTATATATATAAAACTAATAAATAATAAAATTTGATAATTTCCTGATGTTTTAAATTTTAAAAGGCTTTCACTTATTTCTGCATCTATTTACTCCAGAAAATAAATATCAATCAATCAATCAATAAAATATAAATAAATATAAGCATAAATACTTATGAAAAACAGTGATTATATTCTATTATATAAAAATAAAACTTAAATGTTCTCAAGACTTAAAGAAGAGATGAAAATCACAGACAGAAACACGGAGTGCTTAGGTCAGAAAACAAACACTGAGTTGAGGATGCTGATGATGACCTCAAATGGGATTTCCATTTCCTTTCCCATTACATATTTGAAGTGTCACTTCTTAAATGTAAGCAAAATCATATATTGCATTCATTCACTTGTTCATTTGTTTATATTCTTTGTAAGACTTTATGTATTTACCTGTGAGCAATGAATCTAAAATCTTGGTTAGAGAGACATTTGATAAAACAGGGAAACAACCAAAAAAACAAAACTTGGTAAAAATTCAGCAAAAGCAAATGAAAAGCAAAGACCAAACAGAAACAGAAACAAAATCATAAAGAACCTTCTGCACACAAGGGCAATAACCTATAAGTGACTTGTAATGTTTCAGGGAAGAGCATATGTCTAACGGGTAGATATGTCAGGAGTTAAATGAAAGAGCACAGTGCCAAGGGAGTGTGCTCCAAACTTGGCTGAGTTTGCAATGACATGCACAGTATATAGCACAATGTTCAAAAGAACAACTATAGAAGATAGAGGACTAAATGCTCAAATATGTGAGACCCTGTAGGTTTTCTTCTGGAGTGTTTGGTCAAGACTTAATGTAAATCTCTACTATCAAAATAAATAAATAAATAAAATAAAACAATGGGTAGATTAAATGCTGTGATTATATAGATGAATTAAATCTGCTTTTATAGCCCCCAAAGTGATGATTTCTTTTTATCTTCAGTAGCAGTTTTGAAGATAAAGAAAAGTTTACCTTTATATGAACCTTGTTCCTCAAGCTATTTTTCCATACCCACTAGAATACTGACAACCAACTTTTCTTTATAAAACAAGGATTTCACCATATTCTGACAGTATTTTAAAACTTTGAATTATTATCAATCACACTTACAAATTCCCCAGAATAATATTCACAATCATATAAATTTGGAATCTTCCCATTGTAGCTGATTTATCTATAAAACACTCCCATGACAATAATCTGTTCCCTAATCACTATGAATACACCATCTATTTACTGTAAAAATATTGTTTGATTTGCATAGAATTTCCTCCCACACTCTACAAACTCCTTAAAATCTGCACCGCAGTAGCATAACCATATTTCCCTGTTTTCTCTGTACAATATGTATGTACTCAAATGTCATGACAGAATTATTAATAGTACTTCTTTCTCCCAAAAGTCACAGTTTACAAGATAAATTATATGGTCCACTTATTTCGTGGATATTCATTATTTCCCCTACCAGACTCTCTCGTCCTCGTCTCATGATTAAAGCTCTGTGGGTGTCTCCAGAGAAGCACAGCTCCTCATACAGCCCCCGTTTATAGAGTTGTAGCAGTATTGCCTCTGCCTCTTAGCTCCAGGAATCCATTTCCTTTGCTCCAGTATTTTTTAAAGGAAAATACATATTCCTTAATGCTGAAACCAGTAACAGTGAAAGCCAAAGACTAATAATTCTACTATTAATAGTTAAATCTCTTGATCTGATATAAAGTGCTATCTTGTAGGTATTACCACAACACAATCTGAAGTTATAGCTAAAAGCTCACAGTTTCCAATTTAGGAATTTTTGCTAATACTCTGCAATGTTCATTTCTCTTCTTAGTCTCGAAGTCTGGTACCTAATTATCAGAACCCCACCTCCAAATGGGTTGCAACCTCAAACAGATCCTTCTTTCCTCAACTGTCAACTCATTTCAATATATAAGGCTTGCATGGTGCCAGCAGAATCTAAATCTTCCTGTTTATTAGTCATGCATGTTGTCTCCCATTCTTCCACTGTCCTGTTCTCTTTGTCCTGAGGATAATCTTGCACATACCCTTTCTTTCATTTGCTGCTGTGAGAAACAAATTTGCCTCTTATGCTTCCAATATTGTAGAGATTTGCCCTTCCATCCAAATAAACTACAGCCAACTGTGCAGCCCTTATGGAAATCTAAAAATGCCTGAGTGACTAAAATAAATATTTTGCCAAATCTTGTTTGTTATATATGGTGTCTATTGCATCTCACTAGTATATTTACTCTTCATCATCAAAGTATAGCAATTTTCCACACAGTTTCTAGAGATAACTGCTCTGATGTTTAGCAATGTGCTTAACAAAGGACCCACGATATAGGCAGATTTTTTCATGTTTTACCTTAAAGGTAAGCACTACAAAATCTACTTCCTCACAATGGTTCATAAGTGAGTTAGAGAGAAAGCACAGTTATGGGAGAGGAAGTGCTAGGTATGTATTTGGCAGTAGAACAACTTAGCAGCTGGTAAAAAAGGCTACATTGGAAATCAGGCAGTTAGATCCAATGACCATCTTGCTTAACTGTGGAACATTGGTACTTAATTTATAGCCATGGACTCCAAATTTCCTCCTTTGAAAACTGAAAAGTTTGACATACAAATCACCTTAAAATTTTTGTATTTCTTCTAGAGTTGCTTGATTCATATTCAGTGTATAATTTCATAGCAAACATGCTGTCCTTTCCCATCTGATTGATTATCAGCATAGGCTAATGAGGGTAAAGCACAAAAGACATTTTATTTGCTATTGCTGTGGAAACCCTAAATATTTATGCATTTTTTTGCCTTTTATAAGAGTTAAGTTTATGAAAGTTAAGATTGCTCAAGGATCAGGAGAATGTTCTGGCTCAATAGAAAATATCTAGCTAACAAAAGTTTGGTATTAATTTGCTGATAGAAACTAGGGTAGAAATATTCATTGTATAAAATGTATGCTGGTCAGTGATCTGAAAGGTAATCACATGTTTCTAGGACCTTGCGATTACCTAAGGCTAAAGGGATGAAGAAAGAAAGATTACAAAACAAACTTAACTTAAAATAACTTCTACGGTGTTAAGAAGTTTTATAAATGTGTCACCAGCATCCTATTTCAGGTGTGGGTTATAGGCCATGCAATCTTTTAAATGGTATTTTGGATCAAAGAAGTAGGTGCCTCAGTTCATAACCTAACTGCTAAGGTTATTGTTCTATTATTACTAGATGAACTTTATGGCACCTAGACTGTATGTCTTCACTTTTTCTCTCATGAAATTTATCAGTGTCAGCTTTTCAATGTTTCAAACACTTTAAGAAAAGACTATGTTTAGGTCTACAATTCCTTTCCTATATTTAAAAAAAAATCTGACAGTTCTAATATATAATTTTGGAGGCAAACCCTGTCTCAAAGCACTATATTGGACCTTTTTTATTACAATTAATATGAATATTTATGACTTTCTGATAAAGCAAAAATATTGGTCAATGATGGAATTTTGTACACCAGGCATACATATGGTACTATATATACATATATACAGTGAAAAGGCTTGGGTTCATATTTGTGCATATGTACGTGTAAATACACATTTATACTATATTACCTTCCTGAAGGTTATTAATGATTCTCAATGTGACATTATCTAGATCACTGAAGGGACAAACCTCTAGGCATGCTTATGAGGAAGTAAAGATTACATTATTTGAGGTGGGAGGGTCCATCCTCAATATTAGTGGTACTGATGATTCCTGGGCTTGATGCCTTGGACTCCATCAAAAGGAATAAGTTAGCAAAGAATCAGAATTTTTCTTTGCTATTTGAGCCATTGACACATTTTGGGGATGTGATGTGATCACCTGACTGAAGAACCCTTAATATATGAACCAAAACTTTCCATCCTTAAGTTACTTTTCTCTGGTATTTTGCAATAGCAGCATGTAAATTACCTAATGCTCATTAGGCGAGGCATTAACACAGGTCAACAACTGGTAGCCTGTTGAACAAATTAAACCCTATGCCTGCTTTTGTAAGTAAACTTTCACTTGAACCCACTGTGCCTATTTATGTATTCGTGGACTATGCCAGCAGTGGCAGAATGGAATAGCAGTCCATATGGCCTGCAGAGCTAACAGTATTTACTGTCTGACCTTTTATGGCTTTGAAGCTTGAGGAAATTTCTTTGCAGATG